AAAATTTACAAAAACTTGTTTTTGAGGTCTCTGTGATCAGGGCTATTTTCTAAAAATAAAATGGAGTTTAAAATAAAAACTTGATTTTTAGCCTATTTTTAAATATTTAAATAATTAAAAATCACAAAAATAATAAAATTCATGAAAATGATCTAAATTGCTTCCTAAGCACTTAAGAACAATTAGGATATTTTTCCTAATTTTCTAAATAAAGATACTGAACTTTAAAGCTTAAAAAAATAATTTTGAAAGGCTAAAAATGGATTTTCACTAAAATAATTCCAATAAATCAAATAAAATTTAGAAAAATATAAATTTTTCTCCTCTGGGTTCTCTAACAATAGGAAGATTTTTCAATAATACAAAACTTAATTTTCCCCATTCAAAATATTTTATATTTAATAAATACCCATAAATTAAATTAATTCTTCAAATTCAAATAAAATTCAAAAAATCATGAAATTTGGTCCAAAGGTTTCTCTAGTTTAGATCTACATGCAGTAAAAGTTTCAAGGGATTAGGATTTGCCTTGGTCAAGTTAGGAGTTTTCTTTGAAAAATCCTATTTTTGCATAAAAATAATTATATAAATTAAATTAAAATTTCAAAGATCATATTTTCTCCTCTGATGTTTTAATTGGACCATGAATGAGGTAGGATAAAAATTTCAAAATCATTTGGATTAAATTTGATGAATTATGAAGTGTTAGAGCCTTAGGGGCAAATGTGTAATTTCAAAAATTTAGCATTAATTAACATTTAGGCTTAATTTAAGGAGGGAAATGGGCAACCTCTGATCTTAATTTGGATGTTTGAAATACAAGGGGTCAATTGGTAGAAACCAACCTCACTTTCTTAATTGAAAAGATAAGTTAATATTTGGAAGTTTATTAAAAAAAAATAACCCTAGCACTTGGGGTATGACCTTTGAAGTTAATAATTAATCAATTTAATACCCCTATTTGATTTTCAAATGAAATTCAAATAATGAATCATAACGACCTAAAGCTTAACATTTTCAAAACTAATTAAGACACTCACCTAGGTCTTAAGGGCTTAGTAGTGACTTTGGCTAAATCAAGTTTCATTTAAATAAGGATTATAAAAGTAAATATCATTGAAAATGAGAACATCTTTTAAACACTGCAAGCCCAATTAGGACCAGAATTTGGCTAAGTGTTCCAATAACACTATCTTGGCCCTTTAAGGGTCTTCACCCATATAATTCTTAAATTGAATTACGAGTGATAATTACCCTATTCTTAGGGATAATTGATACATCAATATTCATTGAGCATTAGGGTGTTTACAAGATGAATTATTAAGCAACATAA